AGCTAAAATTAGAAGAAAAGCAGAAAACTGGGGGGAAGTCTTTGCAGCAAGTTTGTCTGATAAAAGTTTCATTTCTAAGATATATAGGGAAGTTAGTTAACTTTATAAGAATAACAGCCATTCCCCAATTGATAAATGGTCAAGAGATATGAATAGGCAGTTTTCAAAGGAAGATATCCAAGGTTTCAATACGTCACATGAAAAAAATCCTCTCACTAATAATTAGGGAAATGCAAACTAAAACAACTCTGAGGTACCACCTCACGCCCATCAGATTGGCTAGGATGACAAAACAGTAAAATGACAGGAGCTAAAGGGAATGTGCACTAAGCACACTAATGCATTGTTGTAGACTAATTCAAAAATTATGGGAAGCAATTTGGAACTATGCCTAAAAAGCTACTCAATTGTTTATTCCCTTTGACCCAGCAATACTGCTAATAGGTCTAAATTCCAAAGAAATCACACAAAGAGGAAAAGGATCCATATGTACAAAAATATTTACAGCAACTCTTTTTGTGGAGGCAAAGAAGTAGAAACTGAGCAGATACTCATCAGCTGTGGAATGGCTGAACAAATTATGATATATTAATATGATTGAATATTATTTTGCTATAAAAGATGAAGGGGATGGTGTCAGAAAAACCTGGAAAGGCACATATAAACTGAGGCAAAGTGACATGAGCAGAACTAATAACAGTATTGTAAAAAGAATGAACTTTGAAATACTTAGGAACTCTGATCAACGCAACTCCAAAAATCTCATGATGAAATATGCTGTGCACCACCAGATACAGAACTAATGGATTCCAAATACAAATTGAAGCATATTTTCTTCTCCTTTAAAAAAGATTCCTTTTGGACATGACTAATGTGAGAATTTGTTTTGCATGCACTTTGTAATGATTTTTGCTTGTCTTACATTTTCAATGTGTAGAGGAGGAAGAAAAAGGGAAAGAATTTGGGACTGAAAATAAAATTAAATTAAATTTTTAAATTGAATTTTAGTAGTTAGTGCCCCCCCGAAACTACTTTGTATATATTTTGCATAGGTTTTTTTCTTTTTTACCTAAGTGTGTGTATAATTACTGTTCTCTCCATATAAACAACTTGACCACAAGGACTTTTCAATGTTGTCTTTGCATCCCTAACATAACAGCACCTGGCACATAGTAGGCACTTAATAATTGCTTACTGATTAATAAAATGCTTATAGAACTGAATACAGTTCAGCAGTTAGCTATTCAGTATCAAAGTTGGGTTTTGAAACAGCATGCAGACCTGACAACTATTAATTCAGTTTATATATTTGCATCTATTTAATAGCCTAAAATTTATGTTTAATCATCTGTCCTTTACTTCACATCTCTTTCTTGCTCCATAAATCTCAAACAAGTCTAGTGCAAACCATCACCTAATGGTCACCTGGATGTCTTATTCAGGACTCATTTCTAATCCTAAATGAATTGATATATAAATTTGGTTGACATGTGTCATATTGTAGACCTTGGTAAGGGCAGTTTCAGTGAAGGGGTAGAGAGGAAGCCAGGTTTCTGGGGACTGAGAAATGAGTGGGTGGTAAAGAAGTGGAGAGAGACAAATATAAACTACTCTTTTTGGAAGTTTAGCAGTGACTGGGTAGGAACATATATGATAATAACTTAAGGAAGTGGCAGGGTCAATGTTAGGGTGGTTTGTATTTTTTTTTCAGATAAAGAATACCTAAGCATAGCACTAACAGCATTGTAGACTATATAAAGCAATTACACAGGCACTGCCTGTGCCCTCTAATAGCACATAAATGAAAATACATATTCAAAAACATTTGTATGTACAGGCAGGATAGCTATACAGTTATTCTAAACTAGTCCCCTACTATATCCCAGGTCATTGCCAGTAGTCTGGACTAGTAGTCTTACCACTGGACTTCAGTGACTCTGGGGGAGAGAGTGAGGCTGATTTTGCATGGCTCTGCCTCACTTAAATCCAATTCACTTGCAAGTCAAGTCATCGTCCCCATGATGTCCTTGGTCCTCCTCGAGAACAAAAGATGAACAACAATTCCAATGGATCTGTGATCTCATTCATGTGGACGTCTTTTCAATAACATAGATTAGAACCTATCCATACCTGCCAATTCTATATGACTATTGTCCGTATCTTTCAATAAATTCAATATATTAAGTTCTAACTTGCTGAGGCCCTTCCTTGAATTCAAGAAATTACCAGTTGTAAGTGTTAGCCATCAGGTATCCCTCCTAGTGTTTTTCCCCCCAGTCATGTATTTGAGAACATCTCTTGCATAATTTGTCACATATAACAGTTTGCAGCCTATTCAAACCCACCATATGACTTTCCATTGCCATTTGGGTGATCAACTTCAGTTCTTTGGAGACTATAGTATTCCAGGACTCATAGTCATACATCAGTGGAAGACTATTGGCATCATAAAGTTAAGCCTTTCTTTCAGGTAAACCTTGGGATAATTAGAAGAACTGTGGAAAGAAAATCTAGCTTGCTTTCTTCCTCCTATTCAACCTAAGATAAAAAGTTATTTACAATTGTGTATTTTAGATCATACAGTGGTTTTTTTTAAAACTGTAACACTGAGGTCAGAACATCTACTACCAAACACTACAAAAATAATGGGGATGGAATTGAAAGACTGCTTTGCTTAAATTTGAGCTTTGACTATGATGGAAGAACCCAAAGAAGACCATTAGGTAGATATAGATAAAAAGAGGAACAAAAATATTTAAATGGAAAATATGAATCCTTGGAAAAAGTATGTTGGTGAAGGTGTTATATTTTCCTTCCTTCTTTTTGGTGAGGCAATTGGGGTTAAGTGACTTGCCCACAGTCACCCAGCTAGTGAGTGTTATGTGTCTGAGGTCACATTTGAACTCAGGTCCTCCTGACACCAGGGCTGGTGCTCCATCCCCTGCACCACGTAGCTGCCCCAGGGTTTTTTATTTTCAACGTGTGAACTAGTGGAAGTGTATGTGTTATGGAGGGGAGTTTTGGGGTGGATGTGTGGAATGTCATTTCACCTCCATTTAGGGAAGAATTCCTCAAACAACGTGAGGTTTTAGGAGTATGAGAAAGGGACAATGGAACAAAGTAGGCTCACTTGGCTATCAGGCATGTAGGACCTTTCCACTCTAATGTCATAGATTGTAATACCTTTGCTTTACTGATAAGAGAGATAAAGGACAGATAAAGTGATTAGTGTTTTGCCTCCTGGAGTGGAGGTTGCTTTTGCTGGGAGAATGTCTTCTGATTATGATGACCAAGGTTGGCTTGGAAAAGAGATATACCTCTCTCCCTTCTTTAAAGAAGTGAGAGACTAAAGGTATGGAACACTACATACACTGTCAGATTCCACTCTGAAGTATTGGTTAGTTTTACCAAACTATTTTTCCCTTTTGCTTTTTTTATTGTTATATCGGATGGCTCCTTGAGTGATGGTGGGGGAGATATATTTGGAAATGAAGGTTTTACTAAACTGTTTTTCCCCCTTTCTTTTTTATTTTTATAAGGAATGGCTCCCTGAGTGGACGTGAGGGGTGGGGGCAGATATATTTGGAAATTAAGGTAATGAAAAAACAAAATATAGCTATATTTTTTTAAAATTAAGAGTACACTCTTTTGACCATACTGAATTTCTTTCAGGTATATATCCTTGTTCCTCCAAGTTAAACTACTCCAGCTCTGCTTCCCTACACAGAAATCTAGCATTTGTGGGGATAGAGTTGACTAGGGAGGGGGCCAAAGAAATGACCTGCAGCCAAGACCAGCTTTGTGTCTTGGTACCAGAACTAGCCCTAAGTAAAATAGCCTTAGGCAAAAATCTGTCTCCTGGGCTTTCTTCACCTCCATTCCTTTCTGCTCCAAGCCTAGCATTCTTATTCAACATTGCTCTGGGGTCCTGATTGTTAGGAGGAAAGGTGTGGTGGTTGTTGTTTTTAAGTTGTATTTTTGCTGATATCTTTCCTTTTTGCATCATCTTCACCAGTATACATTTCCTAAAAAATCCATTGTCCCCTCCCAACCAGAGAGCAATTTCCTGTAATTAAGAGGAGGGGAAGAAAAAGGGGAAATAAAGCAATTCAACCTAACCAACCAACACTTCTACAAAGGCAACACCCATAGTCCCCTGCCTCTGCAAAGAGAGGTTTGCATTTTATTAGGATTTCTAAGAGAAGCTCCTTCATAATCAGAATTTCAGCCAAAGACCAAGCTTTTTGCTAATCAGAATTGCATAATTCTCTTTCAGCAAAAGGCGAAGCTTGATCTTTATAATACAGTTTAACACTAATGCATTCCAACCAACAATTTCTACAAGCAAAACACTAAAGGCATGAAATATTTAAATGATTATTACTCCCCAACAATAGAACCTGAGTTTGAAAAGACTAACCAGAAAGGACAATGCTTGACCTAGAGAAATAAGTCTCTAATGGCATAATTTCTGCCACTGGGAAGAAAAAGATTTGGGATCAAGGGGTACCTTCCTAGACCTCAACTTTCAACAGTATCTTGAAGGTTCTTCCAGATATTAGGAACCTTCTCCTACCTCTCAACCCGAAGATCCACCCTCCTTTTTGCCCTGGGTCAAAGTGGATGTGGGTGGGAAGAAAGGGAGATGGGGAGGGGGGAAGAGGAAGAGAGAAAGAGGGAAGAGGCAGAGAAAGAGAGGAAGAAGGAAAGAGAGAGGGAGGAAAGAGGAGAGAAAGGAGAGGAGAGAAAAAGATGGAAAAAAGGGGGGAAAGGAAGGGAGAGGACGGAGGTGAGAGGGGAGAGAAAGGGGGGAGGGGGGATAGATAACGAGAGAAAAAGAGGGGGAAAAAGAGAGCGAGAGAGAAAAAGAGACAGAGAGAGAGAACTCGGAGGAAGGAAAGAAGGGAAAAGGAGAGGAGGCAGGACAGAGAGGGAGGGGAAGGGGAGAAAGGGGAGAGGAGAAGGTAAAGGGGAGAGGAGGGAGGCGAAGGAGGTGTAGGCGGAGCTAATGTCACTATTATCCCAGCTACTATGAAAACACCTGCCCAGCTGCGCCGGGGGCGCCCACACGGCCCAGGCCTGGAGCTCCAGGCCCAGCACTCACGGCTCCGCACACCCCAAGGACCAGGGAGCGCTGCGCCCTCACACCCACTCCCCTGGGAAAGAGCGCAGTGTCCGTAAGGCCGTGAAGCTCAGGCCCTGGCCCAGCCCCGGGCCCAGCCCCCTCCCTCCGCACCCCTCCTCCTCGGCCGCGGGCCGGGAGGAGGGGGTCGGGAGCGCGGCTCCGAGGATCAGGTGCCGGGTTCCCCTCTCCGCTCCTGTCAATCAGAGGCCGAGGCAGTAGTCCTGTCGTACACCGGGGCGGGCCTCCACGTGACGGGAAGCGGCGGCGGGGCCCGGACGGAGCCCCTGGGGGAGCTGCGGAGCCAACCCGGAGCCGGGGCCGGGCGGGGCCCAGCAGTCCCGGGCCTTGGCAGCTGCCAGAGCGTGCGGGAGGCTGGGCGGGCGGCGGAACGCGGCTCGGTGCGGCGCGGACCGAGGAGGCCTAGGGTGGGCGAGCGCCGGTGAGGAGGGGGCGGCGGCGGGGGCTCCGGGCTGTCACAGCCAGCTGAGGCGGGGGCGGCCGGGCTGCAGCTCCGGAGCCCAGGAGGACGCGGGCTCTCGCGTGCTTGCGTGTGTGTGGGGTTGGGGACAATGGGACTGTGTGTGATATCCTGGTGTGTGCGGATGTGTTTGTGCTTTAGGAGGATGGGGCGCAGTGTGTGTGTGTGTGTGTGTGTGTGTGTGTGTGTGTGTGTGTGTGTGAGATTCAGGAGGCTGGGATTCAGTGTCTGTGATATCGGGGTGTGTGTGTGCATGCGTGTGTGTGTTGGGGGTTGTATGTGGTTTAAAAGGATGGGACTCTGTGTGTGGTTTAGGAGGATGACACGTGTGTGTATGTATGTGACCTGGGGCGTGTATGTTTTAGGTGGGGAACATATATGGTTTAGGAGGATAGGACTCTGTGTGGGTGTGAGCGTGTTTTAGGTTAGGGGTGTGTGTTTGTGTGTGTTGTGTGTGTGTGTGTGTGGCTTAAGTTATGAGTTAATCGTGTGTGTAGGTTAGAAGGATGCAGCCTTGGCTATCTGTGTGTTGGGGGATAGGGGAGAGATCCTGGAGACTCATTGTTTGCTTTGGAAGTCGAGGTTGAATACCCTAAAGACTAGGAAAGAGAATGAAGAGAACACCCCGTGGTCTTTCCCCCTGTACCTAGGACTGTTTGGGGGCAAGGTGCAAGTGTGTATGAATCATAAGTTCCTAGGGATCTTGAAGTTTAAGAATATTGAAGGTTTATCTTTGCCCCAGGGCAAGAGAACCTCATGGATGAAAAGGTATTGGGGTCCAGTGTTGAATGCAAATGGATGGCTCTGTAGGACAGATAGAATTGCTCAGACACAGAATCCTGGGAGGTTTTCTCTTGTGAGGTGCAGGTAGTGAATTAGTTTTCGCTTGTAGCTGATAACTATCTCCTCTTGATTACAGGGAGCTTTCCAGAAACATGGACAGAAGGCTTAGTTTTCAGGCACCTGTACTTATCAACATTGCAGCCAGAACTTAGACTCACCTGTATGAAATCTCCTTTCGCTGCACTTGTCCACAAAGTTGACCAGGGCCTGTGGATTACCTGCAGCCCACAAGGATTCCATGTAGTCATTATTAATGTTAGTTTTGTAGGTTGAAATTTAACTGAGTGCAGGGTTGATCACTTTTGAAATTACTGCACTGTGACAGATTTCATCTGTTTGTTTCTGGGGAAGTCATGATGTTAGCATTATTGTATCTGGCAGATTAAAGCACTGATAAATCGTGTGTGAGCATAGTAGTACTATAATGTGAGATGTTTTATTTGTAGGTCAGAATTGATGTCTGAGAACTGGCCCTGAGCCCAAATGAAGCCTAAAGTTGGTGCCCATTACTCTTTTGTAGTTTTTGTGCTTCCTCTTTCATAGTTAGACCAAAGTATGAAGACATCAGAGTTTTACTACAAAACAAGGGGGAAAAAACATTTGGACAGTTTTTGTCCTTTTCTGCTTGCTGAGTCTACTTCCTTTGCCTCTTCTCTCCAAAACACCCATTGAAGCCAGTCCTTTTTGGCTCAGCATTTTTTTTTTTTAAGCAGCTGCAGTGGTGTGGAAAGATCATTGGTTTAGGAAGTCAGAGACTTGGGTTTTAACACTGATTCTTAGACTAAAACAGTGACCTTGGAAAAACAATCAGTTTATCTTTGGGCCTCTTTTAATTATCTTTAAAGTTAGGAAATTGAGCTGGAAGACCTCTAGGTTTTCTTCCAGTACAAGACTTCTTCATTTCTGTGTGCTTTGAGTGCTATCTTTGACAGTACGTGATCTATATTTCTGAATAAGTTCGCTTGTGGATCCTCTCACCTAATTTCTGTTTAGGCAATGGTAAGTTTGAATAGAAATCATAACAACATGCTTAGCTTTCATTCATTCTTCTGTGTCATTTTCAGTCATGGATTTATTTCTAAGATAGTTTTAATCCAACTTTAAGATAATGTGATGATCAGAGATCATCTAATTCAACCTCTCATTCTAGGCTCAAATCCTTTCTAAAGGATCCTTGATATATAATGGTTCAGTCTCTGCTTAAATATGTCCAGTCAGAGCATACTCAATACTTTATAATGTGATTTGTTTCATTATTGGATGGCTTTAGTCACTGAAATCTTTGAAAATGAACAGCAACTATTACTCTCTTAAAATGCTACAAATTCCAATCCCAATGTTCTGCTGGCCCTTTTATTGAAGGAAAATGAAGTCCAAATATATTTAAAAGGTTTTTTAATAGACCCCCTCCTGTTTGTATTAAGAATTTGAGATTCTCTTAAAGAAAACTCTTAGGCATTTTACTTAATGAGTTTAAGCCTTTTCATCTTGGTTAGAATCCAGTCCTCATTAGAAATACATTAAAGTGATTATTTTCTGGAGCCAGGTGTTTGAAGGATATTCAGTAATTAGGCCCATACTTAGAACCCATTTCCTCTGTGGCAAGCCTGACCGGTTTTTCTGTATTAAAACAAACAAACCAACCCACTCAAATACTCCCTCCCCGCCAAAGAACTGCAGAGTGAATGTAGAATAACTTCTCATATTGGCTCAGGTTCTCTAATATTAAATATTAATAGAAAAATCACTATCTCTTATATAAGAAAAAGCTAAACACTGGTTTCAAAATATACAAGTTAACATGAAACTAAGATGCTTCTTTAATAGCACAATCTAAAGTAGTTAATTTGTTAACTGTTAAAAATGTAGCTAAAAAAAGCAAATACAATATTTTGGAAATCTGACACTGAGGAAAGTACTGTTTATTAAATATTCTATTCTGAAGATCTTTACTCCACCCTTACAAACTGATCTTTCTTGGACTGGTATTAACAGATAGATCAGTAAGAATGTCATGCCAAACTAACTTCATTTTCCTTTTCGATAAGGTTACTAAATTAAAAGACCATGGGAATGCCCAAGATCTAGTATTTTATTTTTATTTTTTTGATTATATTTTAAGTTCCGAACTATCTCTCCCCCCTCCTCGTGTGTGTGTGTGTTGTGTGTGTGTGTGTGTGTGTAAGTAAAACCATACTATGCATACTTCTGTTGGTTCTTTTTCTGGAGGCAGATAGCATCTTTCTTCATAGGTCCTTTGTAGTTGATTTGAGTAATTATAATACTCAGAACAACTTAGTCATTCACATTTATTCTTCAAATAATATTTCTGTTACTGCATACAATATTCTTTTGGTTCTGCTCATTTCACTTTTCTTTATTTCATGCAAGTCTTTCCAGTACAAAACTTCTTCATTTCTGTGTGCTTTGAGTGCTATCTTTGACAGTACGTGATCTATATTTCTGAATAAGTTCGCTTGTGGATCCTCTCACCTAATTTCTGTTTAGGCAATGGTAAGTTTGAATAGAAATCATAACAACATGCTTAGCTTTCATTCATTCTTCTGTGTCATTTTCAGTCATGGATTTATTTCTAAGATAGTTTTAATCCAACTTTAAGATAATATGATTATCAGAGACCATCTAATTCAACCTCTCATTCTAGGCTCATCATTTTTTTAATGTTCTTTTAAAAAAATTTATTTTTAGTTTTCAACATTCACTTCTGTAAGATTTTGAGTTTTAAATTTTCTCCCCATCCCTTCCTTCCCCTCTCCCCGAGATGGTGTGCAAGCTGATATAGTCTTTACTTATGTGTTCATGCTAAACATATTTTCACATTGGTCATGATGTAAAGAAGAATTAGAATTAATGGAACCATGAGAAAGAAGAAACAAAACAACAAAAGAAAAGGAGAGCAAATAGTATGCTTCCGTCTGCATTCAGACTCCAGAGTTCTTTCTCTAGATGTGGATAGCGTTTTCTATGGATAGCGTTTTCCATAGTAAGTCTTTTGGAGTTGTCTTAGATCCTTGCATTGCTAAGAAGAGCAAAGTCTATCAAAGTCAGTCATCACACAGTGTGGCTGTTACTGTGTACAGTGTTCTGGGTCTCCTCATTTCACTCAGCATCAGTTCATATAAGTCTTTCCAGGTTTTTCTGAAGTCCACCTGCTCATCATTTCCTATAGCACAATAGTATTCCATAACTTTCACATACCAAAGCTTGTTCAGCCATTCTCCAATTGATGGGCATCCCCTCAATTTCCAATTCTTAGCCACCACAAAAAGAGCTGCTATAAACATTTGTGTACATGTGGGTTTTTCCCCCATTTTTATGATCTCTTCGGAATACAGACCTAGAAGTGGCATTACTGGGTCAAAGTGTATGCACAGTTTTATAGCCCTTTGGGCATAGTTCCAAATTGTTCTCCAAAATGGTTGGATCAGTTCACAACTCCATCAACAATGCATTAATGTTCCAATTTTCCCACATCTTCTCCAGCATCAATCATTTTCCTGTTTTGTCATGTTAGCCAATATGATAGGTGTTCATCATTTCTTACAGTACAATTGTATTCCATCACAATCATGTACCACAACTTGTTTAGTTATTTCTCAGTTGATGGACATCCCCTCAATTTCCAGTTCTTTGCCACCACAAAGAGAGCTGCTATAAATATTTTAGAACGTATAGGTTATTTTCCTTTTTCCCTGATCATCTTGGGAAACAGACCTAATAATGGTATTGCTGGGTCAAGATCTGGTATTTTCTAAAACATTTCACAAAATCACTATATCTTTGTAGACAGCATTGAGAAATGTGATTTGGCTTTCAGTAAGGTAGATTTGTAGCTGGTTAAGTGTAACCATATCCCAAAAGTGTTGATTAGTAGACTGCTATCAATTTGTAGAGGGATTTCTAGTTTGGTTCCATAAGACCCTATCCCAGGGGTGAGGAACCTGTGGCCTTGAGGCCACATGTGGCCCTCTAGGTCCTCAAGTGCAGCCCTTTCACTGAATCCAGACTTCACAGAACAAATCCCCTTAATAAAAGGATTTGTTCTATAAAACTTGGACCTGATCAAAGGCTGTACTTGAGGTCACATGTGGCCTCAA